TATCAAAAATGTACAACTACCTTTAACCCTTCATTGCCATTCACTTTTTTATGTCTCATCATTCGATTTTCCTTCATCGACATGGTAATGCTATACAAATGAATGCTAATTTAATAATTCAACATAAAATGTCCAATAAATTAGCAATGGAAATTTTATTTTGCAATAAAAAAGGTCAGTGAAGCATTAAAAACGGGAATTAAATTGAATTATTGATTAAGTTATAACGACATGCTGCTCTTTATATTCCCATCATCGTCAAATTTTATTCTCTTGGATGGAAAATAAAGTTTAAAGGTAATGTCAGGTTAAAGTTGCATCGAGAATCACCGATAAAAGAATAAAAGCATGTATACATGTACAAGTTCTATCTCAAGCTCCATTATTCATCCATTGACTCGGATGAATCAGTTACAAACTATGCTCCATTCACATCTATTCAATATTATGTGAGCTAAACATTTCTAGTGATTACACATGAAGCACAAGTGAAGCGATTTGATGCAACGATGATGATGAAAGTGATTTTCTCTCAATTCTTCTTCATCCTTTATGTACATACAAATGTGTGGGACAATAAAGAAGCAATAAGAAGTCACTTGGTGGTTTATTGTCTCGTGATTTTAATCTTGTTGTTCTACCACTTGAAAATAATACTATTATGTATGTATGCAGGAAGATGACAATGGGATAGGAATTAAATGAATGTAATGGGAAAATTAAACAATTTTCAAACTCAATTAATTATGGTAAAAAAAAGGAGAATTTTCTTATCTTATCTTTTTGTGCTTACACAGACTAAAATGTGGCATGCCAGAAATTGGAATTTAATGAATTGTCTCTCGAGATGGATTTTTTCGAGTAAAACGAGTAAAACACAGATTTTGTGTGACTCGATGATTTAAAGTTGCAAGTTGGGAGGTTTAAGAGCTCTTGCTGGTTGTAAGGGCTACCAAAGGTACACTACCCTAGTCCAAAATTCTGACAAAAACCTTAAAAAAATTTAAAAACATCTCTGGAACCAACATTGACTGTGGTCAGTAGCACTACAAGCTACATAAAGCATCAATTAATGTTTTACTCGGGAGTATTGCATAAGATGCTTCCTTCTTTATTTTAAAATGACATTAAACTTTCAAGTGATTCCCATTTTTAATGTAAATCTATAGCTTTATATATTTCACTAGTTTCGTCGTTCTTCGCAACGACATTTTTCAATTTGTATCAATTTGTCATAAATTTCACAGAAAAATAAAATTCCACTTCATCTTTCTCTTTCAATGGCTTTCTATCCTGTTTTGCGAACATGTGCACTTTCCACATTTAAAGCTATTTGTCTTCCTATTTTTTTTGCTCTCCGACTATTGCTTCTGTTTTGGTGAAGTCTCTGATGGCACTTGTAAAATGGAATATGGATATTGGAACTGCTTCTCTACCGATAACGACAGATCATAAAATTTTAAAATTTATATTTAGTGGCGTATTATAAAATTCTTATAGAGGTGCTGTACATGAAGATAGCCTCACAGCATTATCATGGGATTGTTCTGACAAAATCGTCACAGATGCTCACATAGCAAGGCATAAAATTCATTTCATTTTATTTATGTGCTTTTCTTTTGTTGTTGACGTTAATGCGGTACGGATAAAAATTTTCAAGATCATCAAAAAAGAAGCGTCATCGAATTAAAGTACTGGGGGTCCTCGATTTGAGTAGTTGTTTTGTTCCAAAAAATTTCTACTCAAATCGAATCTATTCAAATCGAGGCAAAGAATCCATACAAAATTACATGTTTTGTTCCTGAGTCCAAAAAATGTATCAAAACAATGAAAATTTTGATCATTTTTTGCACATTTTACCTCGTTTCTTAACTTTTCCTTTGTGTTTTAGATAACTTAATTTATTTCAACGCATATTCATATTGTTTTTAAACGGAAATTCACAAAAAAAATGTTTTTGAAACAAAACAAAAATATGAGAACCTTGCAAATGTTATTTCACTGAACAATTTGTAAGGTTTTTGAATTTGAACTTTTTAAAATCGTTGATTTTATATCGATTTTTTAAATTTTTACTTTAATTTTGTAACTTTAGTATTGATTTTTCTATCAATATGATAAGTTCACGCTTATCGCAGTAAAATTTATGTTTTAAAATTATTTTCTGAAATGTTTTTATCAAAAATATTTGTTTTGTAAACAATTCAAATCGAAGAAAACAGGAAGAAATCTACTCAAATCGAATATTTTGGTGGGTAATAAATTTTCTGTTCAAATCGAATCTACTCAAATAGAATCTACTCAAATCGAGGACCCCCAGTATAAAGACACCAATAAATGGGATGTCGAGGGGAAAGTCGTTATAAAAACTGAAAATTACTTTCTTGCGTGCTGAAAATTCTATGTAGGCAGGATTTTTTGCTTTAGGTTGTTTCTGAAATTTTTTAACTTTAGATATCGGAAAAAGAAAACTTTTTGAATTTATTTGGAGGGTCTGGGAAAGTTTTTGATGAAAATTATTTTATTATAATCTTTTTTTATTCATTGTAAGATAGTGGAGAGGAATTGATAATAATTGGTATAAAATTCAACAAATTTACTCAGAATGGAGATGATTAATGACAGATTTTTTGAATTTTTGCCACTAGTGTAAGACCAGTTTGATATTAATCTAAAAAAATACAATCATATTCAAATCTATTCGAGTCCTTATTATAATAAAATGTAACATAAGATTAACATATTCGAAAAATTTTCATAACGAGTTAAATGTCTTTTTTCGCTCAATCATGAGCAAAAGTGCAGGTCTCAAAAATCGTTGTAGAAGCTTTAACATCTAAGTTTTCATATCATCTTAAAATGCCAAGGTTGAAGAAAAATGAACACTTTGTTTTTATTGTAGTGGCATGAACGTTTTGAGCATTAAAATTTAAAAGCACCTAAAGTTGATGATGCTTCAAATATCCAATTCAAAAACTAGAAATAAAATTACAAAAAATTAATATTTTTGTGATTTTTTTTGAAACCATTTTAAGCCAAAAGAATTAGTTGCTTTTGTAGCTTGCAAAAACTGTTTAATAAAAACCACTCGAGGCACCCAAACCATGTGTTTTTGTCAAGAATGAGTCGATGAACTTGAAATTTTGATTTTTGTAATTAATAATGAGTTTAAAAGTTCAGTGTTCTGCATGTGTGAGAAAAAATTTAATTTCCAATTCTGCCATAGGTAGAACAAGGATAGATTTTCAGATATGCAAAAGTTGTCTGATAACTTAATCAATGTTATTATAAAGAGCAATGAAAGGTAAGCAAGGGAGAATTTTGGAAATATGAATGAGTATTTTTACTTGGTGATAGTTAAATCCCTGATCATAGATCCCAAGATTTGTTAAAGTGTCTTTAATGAACTGTTCTTGAAAAATAGAACCTGATTTTTGAATGAAAAATCAATTAATATGAGTATACCGAACTAGAGAGACAAAACTAATCAAAAAGTATCAAAATGGGATTAATCAGTTCCACAACTTTAGCTTGAAACAGGGGCGTAGCCAGGAATTTGAAGAGAAGGAACAGAAAAAAATTTTATACGGAAAATTCAGAGGGAAGGGGGGGGGGGGGTAGGATTTTTATGATTTTTTCATAAAACTCCTAGTAAAATGAAGAAATTTCTGTTAACGTCGGGGGATTTGTCCCCCGAAAAAAAATTTTGTCCCTCAAATTTTGTCCCTCAAATTTCACCCCCCCCCCCCACTGATTACGCGACTGGCTCAAAAACTCAATCACCCATCCTTAAAATGATATTTCGCTGTCTTGTTTCTCAAAAACCTAAGACATTATAAAATATTGTGCATTATAGTCCAAAATAAATTTCGATTTAACCCCTTTTAGAATCAAACTTAATTCACAAAAATTTCCCTATCCTAAACAATCAATATAAATATCCTTTAAAAATTCAAATCAGTATCGACCGTCAATAAACAAGCTCAAAAAAGTTTTATAAAAAATTAAAATATTTTCAAAATAATCATAAACTTTCAATATTATGGAAACTGTTAGTTCCCAATAAACACCCTTTTAATAACTTCTCTTTAAACCTCCATTTCATAAATATTTTAACTTCCTTTTCCTTCCTTTTAAAATGCTACACTTTAAAAAGGTCTAAAAAACATTTTATCTAAAAATAAGAAGCATGCTCTATGTCACCATATGTTAAACATGTTCATCGTCAATAAAAATCAAATTTATTTCTCCACTCTTTTTTTTGATCCCTTCTAATTCAACGATCCAATAACATACACACAGTATGTTGACATATCATAATAAATTGCTGTGTTCATCATCGTCGTTTAAAAAGTATGATTGAAACAAATTAACTGGAAAATTGTTAAGTGATTGACACAAGCTAATGTCATACCGAAAAAAAAATTCTCATTTTTCACATCCGGAAGGGATAAAAATTGTCATCATCGTTATGATTACAATGGAAGTAAGCGTAATTGAAGCATTAAACAAAGTTCAAATATATATGAGCTACAAAGTGTGGCTTGAAGTCCATTATGATAATTTAATTTCTATGTTTTACTTTCACAGCATGATGGCAAGTCTCATAGGACTAGAAATGTACTTTTATCGATATAAACGTTTCTGTGCTGTAGCTTAATAGACTTGTTTAACACAGGGAACAGAAACTACTTAAATATAATCATCATCATCATCATTTTCATTATTATGGAGCATGAACTTCTCATTCATCCTATTCAAATTCATTTTCGATCAATTTACGCGACGAGGATGAAGGAATAAGAAATGAAAAAAATATCAGCTATAGATAGTAGACAGGAAATCATATTAAAAGGAAGTGAGTCAGTAGAAAAAAAATTATAATCATAAAAATTCCAAAACCAAAAAATAAATAAATTAAGATAGCAAAAATAGCAAAAAAATGTTAGGAAAAATCGGAAGTTACATAAGCATCAATAAGAAAACTGTTTACAACTTACTTGAACTTTCGGTAATTGTCTTTGGACTAATCGGCTCCACTTCACCTTCTGTGTCTATGCAAATGTGATGTGAATGAGTATCAGAACGTTCAGGTAGGTTGTCCATTGATGGAACAACTATCACAACATCGCCAGTACCACTGCAATCATTTTCCAAATGACTTGCATATTGTGTTGGAATTGAGCTACTATGGGATATTGTTTTGATTAGATAATGGGTTAATTGTGCATTTTAGGGAAACAGGAAAATCATTTATTTCAAGGGCTTCTCTGGATAACTTCCCTTAACCAGGATCTGGCTCTTTAAGTAGGAGGCTAGCCATAATTTAAAATAAAATAGCCCTTTAAAGAGTAGGGTAGCCTTATAAGAACTATTGTAGCCCTTTAATGAGTAGAGTAGCCCTAGCAACAACCCCTGATTCCATATCCTTTTAAAATCCACAAACTTACCTTAATGTTACACGCTTTTTCATACGACTTCCCAAATCAGAATAGCCCCGATTCATTGGTGGCCGTTTCTGATCATAATTTGACAACATTAGATGATGTTCGTGATGTTGTCGTTCAAGTTCCTCCTCTTGACGTTCGTCAAAACTTTTGGCGATTGGAGAGTTAGGTTCGCTTGATTGTTTATCTACTAAAATTGGCTTAGGCTGTCAAAGTTTGAGGGATGTAAAAGTTTGAAAGGTTAATTGATGTGCTTTAAATTGTTTCTGTCATTAGCAAAGGCTGTGGAACTTTTAAAAATAAAATTGCTCGAAAGCCTTTCCAATTAATAACAAGCACAATATTCTCAGAACTTGCAACATAAATAATATAAAACCAAAAAGTGATCTTTACCATTTTTACCTTGAGTGATCCACTACTACAACTAGCACCATTTGCACTACTATTAATTGTCGAATTATTAATAACGATCGAAGCACCGCCACTTGGAGGGTTTGGCGGCAATTGAGGAAGATTATTGGAATGTGGTGGCTCAGGACATATCGGAAGTGATAATAATCGCTTCCTGTCCTGCATATACAGTTCAATCAAATTATCTAATTTGGTTTCTACATCGTCGACCTTTTTTTTTGGATCGCAAGTTTTACAAGCACATAAAAAAGAGAGGAAATTGAAGTATTAGAGCGGAAGTGTCAATTTTGCAAATGGATTTGTTTGATATAACCAGGAATGAATATGTATTAAGCTGTCTGTCAATAATAGAGTGGCACTTTGTTGGGACGATGGAACTAAATTGACTTATTGGTTTTTAACCTGATGAGAGGTACAAATTTGAACAATTGTCGATTTTAGGTAGAATTTTTGGTCTACGTCAGTGGTCGACAACCTTTTTTGTGCACCGGCACACTTTGGTGGGAAGCCATGACCCAAGCCGGGCATTAATTGCATTGAATCATGCTCTCTTCTTTAGATCAGTGATGGTCAACCCATGGGCCGCGAAAAAAATTCGTAAATCCCAAAAATCGTATGCTGTGTTCAGTCTTGGCTTACCTTCAAGGTGTGCCTTGGAACAAAAAAGGTTCACCACCTCTGCTGTAGAAACTTGCCTCTCATCCTTCAATATCATTAAAAGCTTTCCAAGTATCAATTCTAAATTAAAATTGCCAACACACCAACAACTTTATAGCCACAATTATAGCAACATCCATGCCATTATCTCATCTCTACATTCCTGGCTTTATCACGTTTAAAACTTTATCATACATTACCTGTCTTTCAATTTTAACAACACGAGATGCTAAACTTATTTTCGATGCATACACGTCTTTTGCTTTAGATCCTTGTTTTCCTAATATCTGGTCTAATCTATAATTTTACACATGTATCATGCGCGCGTATGTGCATGTATAATTTATGTGTATTTAATTTGTATCGTTTTTATTTGCATAACAGGAAAAAAAGATGGAGAAAAATTCAAATTAATTCTGAGCTTTTAAAAATTTGAGATTTAAATTGTAAAGTTTGTCGAATATTTGAAAAAAAAAATCATAAAGAGGATTTTTAAGTTAAATTTTTTACTGAGGATTATTTTTTGGATTTATTAATATTGTTTTTATATTACTGTGTTTTTATTTATGTTAGTAAGAATTTTTTTAAGGTTTTTACAGACTTTTTAATATTCATTGTTAAAGCTTAAAATGTGATGTTTTATGTAATTTTATTTGCTGTTGTTCATAACTTTTTTTTAAATCCACAACATTGAGCATTTCAAACAAAAAAAATCTCATATATTTTTTTTATGTGCATAACGATGAATGGTGCATTAGCCTCTCTCAACATACATACACCACTACCAAAAAAAATTAATATTAAATATATAAAAAGTTTAAACATTTAAAAGTAGAAGATAGCAGAGAGATTAAAAAATTCTGAAAATCCTGAGTGAGAAAAATCAGACATGCAAGAAATGATTTTTTTTTTTGGGAAATGAAAAAATTCTTGCGGTATCATAAATAGCTCCACAAAGTGAAGTGAAAAAAGATAGTTTTTCATACATTTTTAATTAATGAATCATGCCAAACAAAGTTGAGTCATGTATAACATTCTGAACTTGAAAAGATTTTTATTATTATTATTTTTCTGTGGTAAGCATTTTGTTAATTACACTTATTATTAAAATATTTTTTATATACGTCGGAGAAGCTACCATAATAATATTGCTGAATTTAACTTAAAAAATTGTTTTTTGTCAATTCTATTTTTCGTCATAACCAAAAATCATCAAACTTTATGCAATTTTGGGGTGCAATCAAAATATTTTGAGGTTAGGCTGATCACCCCTTTCCGACGACATACAATTTACAAAAAAAAATCATTAAAACAACCTTTAATAAATTCCTGAATGGCACAAGTCGGTTAATCGATCAGAAATCTGACACAAAATCGGTGTGACTCTGGCATGGTGCTGGATTTAAATTGAAGTAAGCACCATTCTAGAGACATGCCATTTTGTGCTGGATTTCTATTGTATTAACAGACTTGCAAAAGAATATGAAAATTAATTCTAAGAAGGAGCATGAGGTCCAACGCCAAAAAACTTGAAAACATCCCTGATTTGCTATTCAATCAACACATTCAATGTGCATGTCAAAATGCAAAATTGATGAGGAAAATGTTGTTATTTTCCTTATTTCATGTAACATGGAAAATTCTCATTAAACTTGTAACCATTTTGCTATCTTTTGATTCAACTAGATGCATGATTATTCGAAAAACATATTGTTGAAGAGGGTTAAAGTAGAGAAATTTGAGTAGCTTTAGGATGTTGCAGAAATCAGGTATAAAAACATATTTTCTAATTAAATTGCCATCAATTTTGCTAGTTTTCTGTCAAAAACACATTCTAAATTCTTAGTAAAGTACTAGAGAACTAAAAGGTAGTTTTTAAAGCTATGCAAATTTTACAAAGGTTGAAAATTTCGATTAAAATTTAATATTTCTAATTTTTTGACTACTCTACTAAAATTTTTGGGTGTAATTATAATTTATGGAATTGAAAATTTTAATTCAATGCTGTAAACTCTATAACACTATTGTTGTAGGCTCTAAAATTTTAATTCTATATATTCGATCAGAATGAGACAGGGGCGTAGCCAGGAAAAATTTCTAAGGGGGTTTAAAAAAATTTTTGTGGGCTTTTGTTTTATTTTGTACTTTTTATTGATTCTAATAAAATTTTAATGATTGAATTGTAAATTTGAGATCCGGAAAAGCTTTGAAAAAATTTTTAAAGTAAAAATTATTTTTCAGATTTTTTTTCATACAAAATAATTTGACTTTGCCCCAGGAATGAGCTCTAATTATCTATCATATGAATTACAAAGAGGACTATTACCATAATCACTAATTATCTCTAAACTTATATTTAAATTAAATTTTGCAACTAAAGTTTCCACCTTCATGAAAACATTTGATTATTATCTAGTCAAAAATACATATTATTTGGTTTTCAATCAGCTTTTAATCCTTTTTAAACTAATGTCTAAATACAAAAAAAAATTCATTGATTGAGGTTTCAGAAAGTTGGCATTAATACTTTCTAATTCTGTAATTAAAATCGATAGCTTGTGGTTTTAAACTTTTCTCTCGTAAGTTTTGGTTCTATACCATTAAAAATGTGAACTTATTGACATTAAAGTCTTTAAAAATTCTTGAAAATGTGAAAATGAAAGTATGTAAATTGCTACACATCAGGTACGACGTAATGCTCAGCAGAAGGTTTTATATTTAAAAAAAACATATTTTTAACCTCAAAAGCAACATAAAGACTCGATTCACCATAAACAGTTTTTGACCTTAACCTTGACAATATCACAATTTTTCATATTTACAAAATGTTAATGAAAGAAAACTAATGAAGCTATTTGATATCCTATTAGTGACAAAAGTCACTATTATATTCATAAAATCATCAAACTTATTGACTTAATCTGCAATCTAAAGAAATCAAAATTGACCTCAAAAATAGCAAAATCTTAATGAAAACTTTACTAATGAAAATGGTGCAATAGCATGACTTTATTAATGACGAATGAAATGCTCATAATTTCGTATACATCACCACGATTGTTATAAGCGGAATAGCAATGTGACTAAAGTTTACTTATGCAAAAAGACTTGATTTCTTTTAAGTATCAAAAAAAGGTAGCAAAAATAAATAAAGATAAAAATTGTTATTATCTCAAAAAAATTATTATGGCATATTTTTGACGATGAAATGTTTATTCAGTTTAATGAGCTCTGCAAAAGCAATAATGGAAGTTTGAAGATACAAAAAAAATGTTTTGAAGGCAAGCTTTTTATAAAGTTTATAATTTATGGATGTTAGTAATAACAACTTTTAAGGTTGAATTTTGAATGAATTTAAATGTTTTTTGATTTTATTTTAAAAAATATTGAATTAAATTTTCTTTTACCAATTTTAAAAACTCAAAATCGTCATATTTAATGTGTATTTGGAATTGGTTTTCTAAAAGATATTTTCAGGCTTAATCCTTTAAGTTACATAAAGGAGTTGATGGAAGTTGTGTTGCACTTTGAATTGGGAATTGGAAATTGTGAGCTATCGATAGAGCTAATGTAATGCGCAGTCTAGTGAGACAATTGATCTAGCTCAACAAAATTGAACAAAAAAGAAAGACTTGACTGTATTGATTGTTAGAGATTTGAAGATTATAAAATTAAAAGATCATTTTTTTAAGGATTAAGGAAGGAAATATCTTCCAGGAAACGCATTCTTTGGATTATAATATTGCTGGATTCTTTTGGAATGAAAGTTCGTAAGATTTATGTGATTAGGTTATACAATTGTGCACTTATGAGCGGGAAAGTCTTACTATTTTAATAATGTTTTTTAATAATGTCGTGCCTAAAATCCTTAAAGCGTCTCTTATTTTTTATTGGAACTTTCTTGAAAATTTGGTCTGTTCGGCTTTTTTGTAGCTGAAACTAAGACATGTCCCACTTTTTGCACGATGGACAGCGTATAAAATAAAGGATGGCTAAAGTCTAAGATTTTTTGCATATTGTGTGAATGGATCAAATCTTTGCTTGGAACAATCATCTTGAAAAAACAAAATTTCACAATTCGGTGTCGATCTGTATGCTGAGTTTTACACGAAAAAATAGATGTTTGAAAATCAGTGTTGATATTTTACTATTAATCTGCTCTTGACGTGTTCTTGTCTTCTTAGTAGCTACTTAAATCTGTTAAATTAGTTTAGCTAAATTATTAAGCCCCAGAAGACGCCCTGATCCAAGCCTTGACTAGATTTAAATGTCTCTAGTTTTTATTTGAAGATATCAATTTCAACATTTTTCCAAAACACGAAGTCTATTCATTCCAAAAGAAATCCATCAAAATATCTTAAGAATCCAGCACACCAAGTACTTGAAAATCATTTTTTAAAAAAAAACGTTTTGAAAGCTCCTTTTGCTTCATTCAGTGATTGCAACGTGAAGCATCTAAAATCCTACAAGATAGAAGATTTCTTTGAATGTGAAAAAAAAGTTTAGCAGTAAAATAAGCAAAAAAAACCTTTGTATATAAAATAAACAAATTGCAGACAAAATTATTCACAAAAAAAAAAAGTTTTCAGTTCTTTAATGCAAAAAAAACTAGGTATGTATTATAAGCCAAGACTGGCACAGATAAAAAATATTCTTAACAAAAAATTCTCTTCATGTTATGTTTTGCATATTTTATATTTTATACTTTTCGTGTCACTCTCCATTTTTTTTAACATTTCAAAAAAAAAAATCACAAAAATTTCAAACTTCTACGGCAGAATTGATTGAGGATTTGAGAGATTTCACCTCTCCTGACTTTTTTTATATTTCAGTTTCTTTTTGTAAATGTGGATTTTATCTCGATTTACTAAAAAAAAAAAATCTCAAGAAAATTTGGCATATTTAAAATATTTTTTTGAGGGGGGTAAGAAGGGCTGGATTTTATTTATATATAAAATATTTTTTTTATGGAGTTTTAAGTGTTTTTTTTTGTTGTAGATTTTTTTTTGTTGTTGGAATCAAAATCTCACCTAAACTGTAAATTCCTAACTCTAGTCAGAAGATCAGCATGTCCAGCTGTATATTGTTCCATTACATCTTTCACATCATATGGCTTAAGTGCTTCACGAAATTTTTTGCGAGCGACAAAATATTTGAGCTAGTTTTGTAAAAAGGTTTGGAATATTTTTTTTGGTTGTTTTTTTTTGTTTTGCTTAAGAATTTTTTTTTCATATTTTTTCTCGTAAAAATCAATGAAATTAAGATGAAAACTTAATGCATAAAAACTCAGTAAAATG